ACTAAAGTTTTTTTTATTTCTAGATTTTATTATATAGAGACTGACATTATTTTGATCAACTAGTTTCTTTTACTTTCGTAGGATATTTAAGTTTCTTTAGACGTAGAGAATTGAGGGGTAGAGTTGGAAATCTAATTTTGAGATGATAAAAGGCTAGATTTAATAGTGTTTGGGGTTTTCTATTAGGGCATGATAGGGTTTTAAAGTTCCTATTATAAATATAAAAGTTTGTTTTTAATCTTATTATACATATGTAAGACCTAAACCAAAAAACTACGACATAAGAATAGTGATTGAGGGTTGTGTTTCAAAGATCTTTCTTCCTTTTTCTTTTTTTTTTCTTCTTTTTGTTGTTTGGTTGTGGGGAGGACTCCCTAGGAGACCATGAAAGCCCTCCTTGCCTACAAACCATCCTTGGGCATTTCTCCAACTGATGCAGTACAAAAATTACCAGAGACTAACACCCGACAAAATAACCGTGTTTTATAGAGAAAAATAAAAACCAAGAAGGAAATCGCAAGCAGAAGGAACAAACGTGTGTATCTGAGTCCTCCGCAAGAGCCCACAAGCATAAGAGGGAAGACAAATACCAACAAAGGGCCACTCTCTCTCTCTTTCTGTCTCTACACGATCTGTAAAAGATCACTTTCTTTTCTATTCGCGTCAAAAAATTCAATTGTACAATATGAGATGTCCCCCTTTTTAAAAGTACTAAAAAAACCTCCTATTAGACTCCAACTCTATCAAATATCCTAATAGACTACAACTCTTTATTTAATACTTACTAAACAGACCATATCACATGAACTTCAGCACTATCTAATACTTAATAAAAAGGACGGACTTCCTAATACTAACTAAAAACCAATCAACAATACGAACTCATAGAAAAAATTAGACTTATCAAATTAACCCAAAGAATTCAAGATTAATCTTATTTCTAACAAAGTAACCCCAATAAAAATAAAGATAAAAAAGATACACCCATAAAATAATAATAATAATAATAATAATTAAGTCCCCCAAAAAATGAGAAAAATAAAAATATTGAATCCATCCGGTCTTGATCTGCATCATTCTCCCCTAGTTGGAGAAAACACGACTTCGAGTTTTAAAATGCGCTAAGGTAAAAATTTTATTAGTCTCGCATCCTTCTTCAACCCGAATATTGCATCCTTCTTCAGCTTGAATATTGCAAACACAATCCTGAGACCTGTGGGTTATGGGCCCACAAGCACAAAAGTGAAGAAAAATACCCATAATGGGTCACTTTCTCTCTCTCTCTCTCTACACGATCTGTAAACGATCACTTTTTTTTTAATCACGTTAAAAAATTCAATTGTACAACATGAGACATCCCCCTTTTAGTTCCAAAGAAAACCTCCTAATAGACTCCAACCATATATAATATCCTAATAGACTACAACTCTTTATCTAATTACTAAAAAGACCACATCACGTGAACTTCAACTCTATCTAATACTTAATAACAAGGACAAATTTGTTAATATTTACTAAAGAGGATGGACTTGTTAAAACGTACTATAAAACACTCAACAAAACGGACTCATAGAAAAAAATAGACTTATCAAATTAACCCAAAGAATCCTAGACCAATCCTATTTCTAAAAAATCAACCCTAATAAAAATAAAAATAAAAAAGATACACCCATAAAAAAAATAAAGAAATAATTAAGTCCCCTAAAAATTGAGAAAAATACAAATACTTAATCCATCCGGTAATGATGGAGATCAAGACCGAATGGATTCAGTATTTTTTATTTGATAAGTCTAACTTTTTTTCTCTGAGTCTGTTTTGTTGAGTGGTTTTTAGTAAATATTAGCAAGTCCATCCTTTTTAGTACGTATTAACAAATCCGTCTTTTTCATTAAGTATTATGTAGAGTTGAAGTTCGCATGATATGGTCTTTTTCGTAAGAATTAGATAGGGTTGTAGTATGTTAAGACATTAGATAGAGTTGAAGTCTATTAAGAGGTTTTTTTTTAGAACTTTTTTTAAAAAGGGAGACGTCTCATATTGTACAATTGAATTTTTTGACGTGAACAAAAAAAAAATAGATCTTTTACAGATCGGGCACAAAGAGAGAGAGAGAGAGTGGCCCTTTGTGGATATTTTCCTTCCCTCTTATGCTTGTGGGCCCATAGCGGAGGACTCAGATCCACACATTGTTCCTTTTGCTTGCGATTTCCTTCTCGATTTTTTTCTATCTTGAAAATGCAGTTATTTTGCAGGGTTTTAGTCGCCGGTAAATTTTGGTATTAGAGCATCAACGGATTGTTGTGGATCGTGGTATTTGTCTCTAAACATCATGGCTCATCGACATGGTCTACAGTCGGGTATCAGGAATATCCTCATCCAGCGAGAGCGAGACCTCTGAGATCACCGAGATCTTGTCAAAATCTGAGATCTTGAGATCAAAAATTTGATAAGGCAAATAGAGGAATTGACCCAGTACTTGGTGCAAAATCTAACTTCGACACACTATGATAACGATATTGAGTCGGACGCTATTTTCGAGAACTCGTTTCATGCACACGCTCTGCATCGAAAGCCTCACGGTCGAGAGAGTGATCTAGTTAAGTTTGATGAAGAACCAAGTAGGTTTGGATTTTCAAGAGAATCAAGATGTTGACTTGAACCTAGAGGAGATTGAGCCTATGAAGATATCTGATAAAGAAAAAGATGGAGGACTCAAAAGAGAATCGATAAGTGAAGTTGGTTCGACTATTGAATCTAGCGATCATCTAAAAGATTAAGTTTGAGCAATTTCAATAAGTTTATGTGGCTGAAAAATTGACATACAACTCTTTCCTCAAGGGCTTATCATTTTCAATGCACAATCATTATGTTTTCATTAGTGCAATTACCCACATGTCTCAAGATCATATTTGCAATATTCGCGTTGAAGAAGGATGCAATATTAAGGTTGAAAAAGGATGCGAGACTACTACAAATTTCATCTTAATGCATTTTAAAACTCGATGTCAAGTTTTATCCAACTTGGAGAGACTGATACAGGTCAAGACTGGATGGATTCAGTATTTTTATTTTTCTCAATTTTTGGGGGACTTAAATAATTTTGTATTTCTTTTATGGGTGTTTTTTTTAGCTTTATTTTTATCAGGGTTAATTTTTTAGAATTAGGATTAATCTATGATTCGTTGAGTTAATTTGATATGTCCAATTTTTTGCTATGAGTATGTTTTGTTGTATGGTTTTTAGTAAATAATAGCAAGTCTATCCTTTTAGTAAGTATTAGCAAATCCGTCCTTTTTATTTAGTACTAGATAGAGTTGAAGTTCATGTGATATGGTATTTTTAGTAAGTATTAGATAAAGTTGTAATCTATTAGGATAATAGATAGAGTTGGAGTCTAGTAGGAGTTTTTTTTTAGAACTTTTAAATAGGGGAACATCTCATATTTTGCAATTAAATTTTTTGATGTAAATAAAAAGAAAAAGCTGATCTTTCACAGATCGTGTAAAGAAAGTGAGAGAAAGTGACCCTTTGTGGGTATTTTTCTTCCCTCTTGTGCTTGTGGACCTGTAGCAAAGGACTCGGATACGCACTTTTGTTCCTTCCGCTTGTGATTTTCTTCTCGATTTTCATTTCTCTTTAAAACGTGGTTAACAAGGGATTAACCCTTTAAAAACCTTTTTTGATAGTACCGTATGTCTAGAGGTAAGGGTTTTGGATATGATCAGGGCCATAACCACCCAATCTTAAGTTAGTCAACCAACACATACACACCCACTAAAGAGCAAAATCCACCATAGTTCTTATTTACATATTCCCACAGCCTTTAAAGCCACAAACCCCAACAGACAAATCCTAGCATGCAATGACATAAACTAATATCGTTTGCAAGTTGTTAAGCATAAGGGAATCAATGCATACATGGTTCTCATGAGCACAATAATTGCTCCTAAAATGTGATTATCCATCAGATAATCTATCAAAGTGATAATTGGTGTAGAGACTAGTGAGACATGACCAAATACTTCTTCTAGGTTTTGAAAGCTTCCGATGCAAATTTTTTGTGAACCTTTCAGTATCCCACTCAATGAATAGAATTGAGCAACAGTAATGACTGGATAGCCAAAGATCCATTTTCAGTAATGATTTCACACGAGTCACTGAAGAAACAGCAGAAAAACAACCAAAAACTGCTAAATTCATTGTATTTGTATGAATTCCTAGCATATCCCGTGGACATGACATAAATCCAAAAAACAAAATGGATATGTATGAAAGGAAAACAATTTATATTACAGATTATGAAGATTTAGAACCATGGTTGCTGGCATACAATGAATTAAGCCAATTGAAATAACCCAAAGTTGAAGTTTGCAACCGTGACTTAGAATACGGGTTAATAGATTTGCTAAGTACAGAAGTATGAGACTTGAACTTTGCATCGCATAGTTTTCATTGTGAAATGACTTCAATTATCATCAGAAACATCTCCAAGAGCACTAAGCAATTTAGGAAGAAAATAGCATGTCAAATATGCCTTAATTTAGATAAGGGAAAAGTTTATATAGAGCCGAGGCTCTAAACAAACAAATTTGAGCCTTACCTCAAAAATTTCATTAGAAGACGTTGTTTTGATGCTCAAATATCTTCAAATCGATCATCTCGACATCAAGATGCATGGACAAGAGAAAAAAATGGATTTCAAGTTTTGAAACTAATGTATTTTGTAGCGCATTTTTTAACCGTCAATTTTTAAGATTTTCAAGTTTTTATAGATCAGTCAATCTACACTATTTTTGAAGCTTTAAAGTTTATAAATAAATATAAAAATATATTTTAGGGCTATTACAAAGATTTTCAATATTGAAATCACATTTCTCGACACTATTTGAAGGTAGGCTCTAATTTGATTGTTTAGAGCCTAGGCTCTATACAAACCGCACCCTTTAGATAATGATGAAATTGAGAAATATACAAGAAGAATCTAGTAAAATGGAAACACCTGACGCCGATTTGGTAAGAATCCTGGGGAATTGTATTGGATACGCTTGCCAATGGAATCTGCAGCCTCAAGAAGAATCTCTTTTTGTCTTGTAAAGGTATAATCTTGCTTCTTTAGGCGACCTCTTTTAAGGGCATCTTTCAACGGTGGTTGCCTGACTACATTTTCGGACACATGTTGTGGGTGCAACCGTTTGCACCAGTACTCCTGAGAGCAAAGGAAAAGCAACAAACCAGAAATTCTTAGAACCAACATCAATTAAAATACAAGAAACAGGTGCAAATAAAAGACAAATTGGGGAATGTACACCTTGTAAATGATGATTTTCTGCGATTTAATTTTATCGATGAAACAAAAAAATGACCTTATCAAACCAAAATCCCGGAAACATACCAGATTCGGAAAAATTAACGTGTACACCATGCATATGATGATTTTCTGCGATTTCATTATATAATTAATAATCATACAAGCATCGAGTCAAAAAAAAAGTGTAACCGTATTCACCTATTTTTACAAAGTAATAAAAGTACCTAATGCACCACACCTAATTTCTTTTAGAAACTAAAAGTACACTTGTTTTTTTTTTTTTGCCAGGAAGTTAACTGTTTGTATTGCTGAGAGAAGAAGAGTTCATCAGTAAGAGTTGAGAGTACGCACAGACCGGGTCTCTCGATCAAAAAATAGGCCACCTGGCAGTGGTCCTGTACAAAAAATGAAGGGCTTAAAAGACACTCTCAAATAGAAGATGTAAACTGTGCAAAAAGGAGGGCTTATAGGACACACCCAATTACGAGAGAAAAACTATGCAAAAGGAATAAAAAGTGCGCCCGCAGAGGTTCAGAGCAATAAAGGAGATGGACCAACGACAAAACCATAGTCTAAGTAGCTCAACAAAAAGTCGCTTATATATGGGGCCTTCAGCTTGGGTCCAAGCGACATTCTTAGCCAGAAGATCTGCGAAGGCATTTGACATCCTCCAGATATGCATCCAAGAGACGTCTATAACCCTGCAAATATGATCAAGTTCGTCAAAAATATGGGCAAGGTACAAAGGAGGAGTGGCCTTTCCAGAGGCCCAAGATATGATGTTTTTGGCGTCCCCCTGGACATACAATTGCAAACCCCAGGTTTGGTCGAACTTCTTAATGCCCAACAAAAGAGTCATAGCCACTGCAAATTGAGAGTCTACGTGGCCTAGGTGATCTGAGTAAGAAGCCAAAATAGTACCATTGTGCTCACGAAAAACCCCACCGGCTCCAGCTAGGCCTGGGTTACCCAGGGAGCATCCATTGAAATTGCGCTTGATGATACCATCTGGGGGAGGCGACCAATTGTTGGCTCTTGAAACCCGAGAGGGTACAAGGTGTATGAGATTCTCCCAATCGTGAAGGAAAGTAACAGCCGAGATTCCAACGAAAGCCCTGTGGTTGGAAGCTCAAAAGATTACCAGTGAAGTAATCTTATGGAAGAGAACTGGAACTTCGCTTTTAATTCCACGGAAAATCCTGGAATTTCTGTCGAGCCAAGGAACCCATATGGTTGCTGCTATGGAAGCTTTCTTGAGGATTCTGCCCGACTTAGGCCAATGAGAATCGAAGGAAGAAGTAAGTAGTGTCGATATAGAGGCTGGGGTAACCCAAAAAACTCCAAAAAGTTGGATAATAAGGCTCCAAAGTTCAACGGCTAGGTGGCAATGGACGAACAGATGGGAGTTTGTTTCTTCCTCACAAAAGCACATAACACACCTATTGGGAAGTGGTCTACAATGAGAGCTCATTCAGAGCAGGCAATCCAGTTGAAAGCTTGCACTTTAGGTGGTGCGATTGTGGACGAAACTTTGGATAGAACAGAGGTGGGGTTGAGAGGGAAGGTGAGAGATTGCAGAAGTCTCTTGAAGAAAGAAGCCAACGCAAAAAAGCCAGTGCGAAAAGGGGTCCAGACCAAGGTGTCTGTACCCGAAAGGATGAGGAAAGTAGAGTGGAGGGAGGCCAACAAAGATATGAAGTCCAAAGTTTCTTCCTCAGAGAGCGTCGCCTAAAGGAGGGGTTCCAGACCCTACGGTTTTCGGAGATAAACCATTTCCTCAATCACTAGGGAGGATTTGTTAACAGCCAAGGAGTAGAGAGAAGGGAAGAGATCTCATAGGGGGTGTGGCCTAACCAAAGGTCGGACCAGAAATGCACTCTAGCACCCCCTCACGCATGAAAGCGAATGAATTGCTTGAACAGATTAAGGGAGGTCAAGAATGATTTCCAGGCACCAGAGCCCCTGGTCGGAGGTCTACCCTAAGGCAGCCAAAGATCAGGCGAAATTCTATATTTGCGGCAAAGCACTTGGGCCCATTGCGAGCTGTTCTAGGTGGCCAACCTCCACCACCATTTCCCCAACAGCGCTAAGTTGGGTTTTTTTAGAACTCTGATTTCAAGACCTCCTTGGTATCTCGGGAGGCACACTTTGTCCCAAGAGATAAGGTGGAATTTTTTTGACTCAGCTTCCAGACCAGACGAAGTTCCTCATCAGTTGGTCGAGACGTTTAGCTAATGAGGTGGGCATGTGGAATAAGGACATGAGGTAGACCGGGGAGTTGGCCCGGGTAGAGCTTTGATGAGTGTGGTTCTCCATGTGAAGGACAGGTATCTCTCTACCTTTCCATCCTGTCAATCGCCTGTCGACTTTGTTGATCACAGGAGAGAATTGCCTCTTCTTTGGCTTCCCTAGACCCAGGGACAAGCCAAGATATGATGTAGAGAGATCCTCCACTGTACATTCCCAATAGGGGATAAGGTTCCTGGTTTCAAGATTAGATAGACCTACCCCTATCATTTTGGACTTTTCCATGTTTACTTTGAAGCTCGTGGCATACTCAAAGCAAATCATAAACAACCTAAGGTTATCAATTTTCTCAAAAATGGCATCTAGGAAGACTAAAGTGTCATCTGCGTACTAAAAGAACACAATTTTTAGATATTTGTAGTGATTTTTTGAAAAAAAAAATAGAAACAAAATATTCCGATTCGGTCGATTCTCCAATCCGATCCACCGATCCGACATGGGTATGGCTAAGACCGATTCGGGTTACCGATTCGATTTTTTAAACATTGGTTACGAGTGAAAGTTAATCTTCAAATGCCGACAATGTAGGCACCACCCCTTGCCCTTTTCGGTCCTTCCACTATAACTAACTCAAACCTCCTAACAAGTGTTGTACTTGGTTGGCACCAAACATGGCCAGCCCACCTAAGTCTACTCTCTCTCATTTTATCGCCTATTGGTGCCACACCTAAGTTCTCTTGAATAGATTCATTTTAAATTCTATCCCATCTTGTCTTGCCACTCATCCATCTCAACATCCTCGTCTCCGCTACACTCATTCTATGGGTATATTGTTTTTGTCCGCCCAACATTCTACCCCATAGAGCAAAGCTGGTACCACCACTGTCCTATAGAACTTTCCCTTTAGCCTCCATGGTATGCGGCGATAACATAAACTTTCAGTTGCACATCTCCACTTCACCCACCTAGCTCTAATTCTATGTGCGACATCTTCCTTGATCTTTTCATTTTTCTGGATTATCGACCCAAGATATCGAAAGTGCAATCTCGGTCAATCTTATCTACTTCCTCGTCTCTGCTCCTATTATTACTAAACTTGCGCTCCATATACTTTGTCTTAGTCCGACTAATTTTAAAACATTTGGATTCTAGAGCATCCCTCCAAAGTTGTAACTTTGTGTTGACGTTGTTTCGAATCTCATCAATCAAGACGTTGTTTCGAGTCTTATCAATCAAAACTATGTCATCTACGAACAACATGCAGCACGGTACCTCATCCTGTAGGTGCCTAGTTAAATTGTCTAAAATTAAGACAAACAGGTACGGGCTCAATGCTGACCCTTGATGTAGATCTATTGTCACTAAAAACTCACTCGTCTCTCAACTACTTGTTCGTACACTAGTTAATGCTCTATCATACATATCTCTCACCAAGTCAATGTAGTGTTTAGAGACGTCTTTCTTTTCCAATACCCGCCAAATCAATCTTGAGGTACTCTATCATAAGCTTTCTCTAGATCAATAAAAGACCATATGGAGGCCTTTTCCCTTCGCCCCAAACTTCTCAATCAGTTGCCTAGGTAAGCAAATAGCCTCAGTTGTTGACCTTCTTGACATAAAACCAAATAGTTTCGAATACACTTGTTTCATGCCTTAGTCGTTGCTCAGTGACTCTCTCCCAGAGCTTCATAATATGAATCATAAGCTTGCTCCCTCGATAGTTTGCACAATTCTATGTCACCTTTGTTCTTGTAAATAGGTACCACAATACCTTTCCTCCTTTCGTCTTGAATTTACTTTGTTCTCAACACCTTATTGAACAACTTCATCAGCTAGTCAATGCCAATTTCCCCATACACTTCCAAACTTCTATCGGGATACCTTTTGGTCTTAAAGCTTTTCCTATCTTCATCTTTTTTAAAGCTTCTTTCACTTCTGATATCCTAATCCTATGAACGTATATATGACCTCTGTCGCCACTTGTACCAACAGTCCTTTCTACCAATACATTACCACTGTATTTGTCATATATATATATATATATAATATATATATATATATATATATATATATATATAGGATTATGTTAGGGTGTTCACACTAAGGAGTAATTTATTATTGTACTTAACAAATTTTTGACACTTCTATACCCTTGTTTTGTACATGGAGCATTTTTTTAGTAAGGGTATTTTTTATCATTAGGTGGGGTGTGACATCACCTACATGGAGTGTGCCGTCTCCATGTGGGTGATGTCACACCCCATGTGGATGACGTCACACCCCACCTAATGACAAAAAATACCCTTGCTAAAAAAATGCTCCATATACAAAACAAGGGTATAGAGTGTCATAAATTACTCCATAGTGTGAGCACCCTAACATAACCCATAGATATATATATATATATATGGAAAAAGCTAACAATAGCTGCGCAACTATAATGAATAGTAATATAGGTGGAATCCCAACCGTCAAATCTTCATCAAGTGGTTTAGAATGCATACAACTATATGAATTTTAATATTTTTAAAAATCGGATCATAATGAAATTTTATACGTGTGTACTAAAAAATAAGTCGCACAATTAAAAATATATAAAAAATATTTTCCAAAATATAAAATGACCGAATAGGGCTGAAAAATGATGGGGGTAATTTGGTCTTTTAAAATTGCTGAAAATAATGTTTTTATATTTTTATATGGTGCACGATAGTGTTAGATATATACACCCAAAATTTCATCTTAATCAGATTTATAGAAAAAATTAAAATTAAAATAGTGATATGCATTCTGAACCACATGATGAAGATCAGATAGCTGGGATTCCACCTATTTTACTATTCATTATAGCTGCCCAGCTATTGTAAGGTTTACTCTATAGTGTGAGCACTCTAACATACCCATATATATATATATAGAGAGAGAGAGAGACGCACATACACACACATAGGGATTGTATACAATGAGACTATTTACCTTTGATACAAGATGGTCACAATTACTTACAACCATCCGAAGTGAAATTTGATAGCTTGGATGTGTGACAAAGTTGGAGAAAATTTCTTTTGAAGTTTGTGCTTGGGCAATGGAATAATTGCAGCCACCCAATTTCACATCCAATGATCAAGATTAATATGACCACCTTGTACCAAAGGTAAACGGTCTTATCTATACTTTCACATATATATATATATATATATATATACATGAGTAATGATCATATGAGACCCTCCCACATCCATGTGAGTAGGACCCCAAAGGATCACCATTAAATTTGACACAGATCTCTAGAAAAGTTATCACATGGTTGAAGGGCTTGACTTTCTAGAGATCTATACCAAATTTAATGGTGATCCTTTGGAGTCCAACACACATGGGTGTGGGAGGGTCTCATAGGATCATTACTCTATATATATATATATACTCTTTTTTTTTTCTTGGATTGTATATTAGAAAGAAGTTAGCTACCTAGAGAAGTAGCAACAAGATTTCGATAAGGGTTAAAGTTCAGTTGCTTGGTTCATAATGGACATTTCAGTTGCCACAAAAAATAAGAATATCTACTTTTTTGGAAAGAAAGTTGTAACTTACCTAAAAGTTTTTTTGGAAAGAAAGTTGTTATTTATCTAAAAGTTAGCTGAAAGATCTTTAGTACGTTTAACAGCAAACTACAGTGGTCATATTCATAGGTACCTTGATAAAAAGGAAGACGCTTGAGTTACTCTCAAAACAGGAAGACATTTAGAGAAGGAAGACATTCAATCTGAATTTTATTTTTGTGGTTGTTTTCTTGGGTATGGATTTTGTGATGCGCATCTAGACATAACTGAGTATGTTTCATAAGTAATTTTAAATAAATTTTACCTTATATAGTTATTTTTAAGTGTGATGGTGCTTCAGGCTAGGTTGCCTCTGGCAAACAACAAATTTACTGTTCTGCAAACATACTTATCCTGTCCCAACGACTAAACATTTGTGAGGTCTAATTATCTTTAGAAATTCCATTATGCCAACAATTTTATCCAAAAAAGGGGTTGTGAAGAAATTCAGAAATTGCAATTAAGGTTTCGTGTGAGACAAAAAAAAAATTGATTTTCCATTCACTTCCATTGCTCCAAACCGTGGGGCTGTCACATACACAAGGCTCTTGGGCTCTTGGCACCTCTCAACACACCGATACGACATGCAAATCCAATGTCTAGAAAGTTAGAAAACTCTACTTCTTAACAATATTTTTTCAAACCGCTTAAAATCACACCGTCCCCTCCATAAATGAGGTAAAAACGTATCATTTCTAAAAGGACAAATTTGTTGATCGTGCTTTTTTACGCACATATCCCATACATATATCTGCCTTAGTAACGTAATGGTGGAATTTATGCTTACTGCAGAAAATGAATGTAGCAATGCACTCAAGCTTTGGTCTGGTATAGAAGAAGTGGGTTATGCATAGAGCAAGAGCAAATGGGAACTACGTGGTAAGTCTCAAAAGATGTAAAGGAGTAATGTGATGGAGGAAGAGACCTAGATAAGGACTTCGAGGCCAAGAGTGAAAACAGGCATTTCTTGGAGAGATAGGTTCGCAGGTGTCAAACGAGTGAGAAGGATTCTAAAGTAAAAGAAAAGGAAAGGATGAAGACCAGATACTGAAAAGGACAAAAGTGCGGGCACTAAGTGAGATGAGTTACCATTGGTAGAAAATTGGCAGATAAGAAACATCAAAATATGAAGTATCCGCCGATGCCCTTAGGAGGAAGGAAGTGCCTACTTATATTCGGCTCTTAAGAAGGAAAATTTATGAACAGGAATTTTCCATATTATTGAAAGATAATTGCATTTTAATATCATATAACTTGTTTAAATTTCGAGATGTGAAAGACATGGACTCAGAAAGAGACTATGATGGGTTGAGTGGAGATAGGGTCCAGTAGCTTCCTGCTTCAATGAGCCAATTTAAGTTGATGTTAGTTAGCTAAGCATAAAGTATGTTGTTCCTGGACATAGACCCCAGATATATCACCAAGTTGAAGGTCCCTTTTTCATCTCGATAGAAATTATGAAGTAAAAGTATGAAAGTTGGATAGGGAGGGAAGTTCCAGTCCAGCAGCAAGGGCAGTAAGAATGGCATTGCCAGGTAAAGTCCTTTCAATGAAGTCACTCCATCTTTATCACAATTAGAGAAGCTAAACCAATCACTTCTAATAAACTCAAAGCTCAATATTTGATTATTGGAGAGGCTTAATAGAACTAGAATGGCCAATTGAACAAAAGGAGGCAACATTGGCATGGCCATGGAATATTCAGCATAATGGAAGATGGAGAAATCTTAGTGGCCACATAGACAATGATCCACTTGATGAGTATAGTTTCAGACATATGCAACAAGATATGCATGTAAAACTCAAGGAAAAAACCAAATTCAAATGCCAAAGAAAGATATCTTCAATTATTTTTTACTGTTTACCAGAATGGCCAGACATTACAACCAAAATACTTCTACATAAAGACCAATAGCCATAACTTTCGTTACTGTGTATAGGGTACACGACAATATGAGAATGGAAACTCAAATATGAGGTCCCTCACCAATATTCGCTTTGATACCATATAACCAAACTAATTTGCAGTTTATTAAAAAACAGAACATGCGAGGCGCAAATGAACATAAACAAATGTAAACAAGCTGAAAATGACCACAGTAACCATAAGGCGAGAAATGAGATAAATATAGATGATTTGATGACTTTCTTTTTCTTTCTGTTTTTTAGTATGGTTACAGTACTGTAGATTAATAATTAACAAAATATAGAAGATTTTATGTATAAAGAAAACATATAAATTAAACATACACTCATCTCTCAGTACATACATCTCAAAAAAGAACATATCAAGAGTACTCCATAAAAAAGTGAAATGTGGCATCATCCTACTCTTAAGAAAAGGCAGGGGAGCAAAAGAAAAAGGATCCATATGAATTATTTGAGTCTAAAATATCAGCAACAACTTCTCAAAAAATCATTCAACCAAAGAAATTTGGGCATCCACATGCATCACCTTGAAAAGCGGGTGCACATCATCATCTATATTGAACACTGTGAACTCCAAAGTCACCCTTGATGCAGTGTACAGAGCAATTTCTTTCTGTAATAACAACACATGTTAAAAACTCATATCACAGAAGCGGGATTCAACAAATGGACATTGATTTTGTTACAAATTAAAAAAGCAGGTAACAGAAACACAGAATAGGATGCAAGTCCAATGTAAGTACATAAACAAAAAATAAACAAAAAATGATGACACTGGAGGCATGACTTGTTAAAATGCTAAGTCAATTGGAAGCCACCCAGTCATAAAAAATCACAGAGAACATTAAAATTTATAGTAGAAAACCCATGTTGGCCAACTTTAAAAACTGTCGGACCAGAAGTTTTTTGCACGAAACAAAAAATTCAGAAACTTCAGTCGCTTTAGGGACCTTCTCTTTTGCACACCAGTTTGATCTTTTCAAAGCCAAAAACAATTCCCAAGTTTTCAGTGAAATACCATATTTGAATAGGGACCAAAAAAAAGATCCCAAGACTAAATACTCCTTCAAAAAAGGCACTTCGAGAGTATTGTTTAAATTTCTTAAAATATTTCTAATCCTTCAAAACTAGTTTTAAAAGATAAAGTTTTGGATCAGCCAACAAATCCTATGCAAAGGAGGAACTCCATTACCAATCATTGAAATGGCCTTTGAAGGATTCCACAAACAAAACAAGCTCAAGGTCAAGCTTCTCCCAAACTGAGGGAAATGATGCAATTAGTGTTTTTTATTTTTTTATTTTATTGGTTTTTAGGGTATTAAAGTATAGGTTTACAGTTATTTGGGTTTCTAGTTTCTAGGATATTTGCTTCTTTTTTGTAGAGAACTGAAGGATAGAATTGGAGGTGTAACTTTTGAAGGATAAAGTGATAAGATTTAGTATTGATTAAGATCGTTTAAGGAGCGAGTTAGGTTTAGGGATTTTTGTCATATACATATGTTAAGTGTTGGAGAAAGAAAATAGCTGAGAAGAAGAATTTGTTTTGAGCCTTATGAAAAGATCTTTTCCAGGGTGGACTCCCCTAGAGAAACGGAGAGCGGGTATGTCCTGCCACCCTTATTTTTTTATTTCTTTTTTGTTCTTTCCCCTTCTCCCTGCATCAGTGAATCTAAAAGCCTCTGCTCACAAGTTTACTAGTTCCAAATTAAAAACCATGTCCCATAATACCTATTTCCTACTTCAGTATTTTTCTCTATCATTATAAAGATGCTATTATTTCCTTTGAACGTGCTAAATGCTATCGTTCTCAGGCATTTTTTAAGTGATGGGTTTGAGTAACTAAATAACAGTGAAACCTACTAAAATCGCAACCTACACAATTATAAATATTTAGTGGGTAGTATCAGTTAATCAAATGAAGTATAAACAAAATCCTTGATGAAAAACTCATGTACTATCTATTCATTTCGCAACACCTACACTACCTGGGTCAGATACATTCTTTTATACCAGTAAAAAGTAAAATGCTATATGATTTATCCTAAAGAAGGTATATCACTGGTTTTTCTTTGATAAACATTTTAGATTTTATTAAGAAAAAAAAGACTACATCAAGGAGACTCACGTTCAGAACACGCCAATTGACAAAGAGACAAATAAACAATAGTGTGGCAGCTAGATGCCAAGCCATACATAAAGGCACATGACACAGAAATGTGGTATGAGAGGTAGTCAAACATAAAACAAGGAGCAGAAGTTGCCTAAAAGCAATCAAATTGGGAAAATTCCCCCTTGATTCTATGTAGGTTTGGTTATTCATGCAAAACCAAGAGGTCATATCGTATGGGGCATCCTCTCGAGGAGGGCTTGGATTTTGACGTAATGAACATTTTTGACGCCGCAATCTGGATATCATACACGCTAGGGGGGCATATTGCAAATACTCCACGAATTTTTAAAGCAGAAAAATCAGTATGTAGATAATGAACTATTATATGATACCCATGACAGAAGGTAGAAAACCAGAAAGCAAATGCCTTCCTAACATGACCATCCATAAAACCATCATTCAAAGGATTAAAATGTATTTTGATATATGGTGGTGTTTGTGTCCTTCAAAGGCCTTGACCCTTGACAGCTTTAAAAACCACATGAAGTCGATATATACTCCAATGGGAATGTGATCCATGTAACACTAGAGAGGCATGCTTTGTAATGCATGTTGACCCATCCATGATGAGCAGTATTAGCATGGAAAGAGTCCAAAACCCTTACCCCTAGGCATATGACACACATCGTGGAGGGTTTTATTGTAGGGTCATCCCTTGTTCAGGTCAGAGAGATGACCAAGTACGTTTTGAGCTAGGACGCGAGTGGTCTCCTATATGCGGATGAAGGCATGCAAGGGCAAGGGCCAAATCCTCAACAACCACCACATGACACGTACACATGATAGCTGCATTTTGGAAAGCGACCCAAGCGGATTCGTAGGCATGTGTTAAAGAGAGGACCCTCTACGTTGTTACAATATTGTGCGTCCATCCTTCCAGATATAACTTGTTCTTAGGGGGGAACCTATAATCCACACATTAGATTTGTGTCCCTCCTATTTGTTGGCTAACTTCGATGGGCTAATCATAAGCTAGTGCGATTGACTGTGGGTCATGAATCCCATTGGATTGGTTTGAGAAGACAGTCTGCATGTCACAAGCTTTTAAAATAAGTGAAGTGCCATAGTGATTTGCATGTTTCTGACCCATTGGACCCAGTCCTCTTCTAAATGTGCATTTTTATGGTTTAGAAAAATTATAGAGCAATAAAAAAAAAATTAAACAAAATTTTGTATTTTATTTTTGCCTAGGAATTTTAAAATTCAAAGTAATTGTTTTTACATAATTATTTTCTGCAAAAATATGTCTTTCTAAAAATTTATTTAGTGAAATAGAAAAATTGTGGCGCCCACAAGGCCCACACACCCCATCTCTCTCTTTTTCTCTCCGAGGGTAATTTGGTGGTTATGGTAGAGAAGTTTTCGAGAGATAGGGACTCCGGATTTTGTGATAATTTTATTTTTTGTAAAATAAAATATAAAGGATAAGGTTTTATCTTAACATGATTTATAAAAGGATCAGGATAACACTACTAGAAACATGAGGTTCCTAGAAAATATGGGGTTAAAAACTAATCCCATGAGGATTCGAAGAGGATGTGGGTCAAGGAAGCTAAGGGTAAAGGTTTTAAACTCCATCCCTTCATGATGGCTGATTTAGGGAATGGACGGCTCAAATTGAACCTCTCTTCACCCAAGAGATCACCACAGATTCATTGGTCCAAAATTGAATCCTAATCTAGGATGGCTTGCCCTAGACCCCAGATAACATTATAACTAAGGGGCTACCCCCTGTTCTCAGAACTTGAAATCAGAATCTCTCCCCATTCTCCTTCTCTCTCCAGGGGCCAAGCGCACAACCTAGAAGGATCCTAGGGTGGCACGCATCCTTAGGAGGCCTACTAGGAGGCACACTTAGCCCAGCCATAGCTCAGGAGAGGTGCCCCACCAGGCTTAGTGTTAGCCCTAGGGTGGCATGTCCCACAGTGAAAACGGTTGAAAAAGAAACCCTAATTGTGTTCAGTGTTCTCTCTCAGTTATGCTCTCTACCCTAAGCTTCCCATCTTGAAGAGGATTCAAAAGGGACCATAAGATCGGTGTGTTATTGGTTTAGTGATCAAAGTGGGTGTACTAAGTCCTATGGGGTGATCCTAGGCATTCTCTTGTTCCAGTAAGTGGCTTCCTAGTAATCGATTCATATTTACTTTTGTAATTGATTCTTTCTTTATGAATAAATTTTATGTTTAAAGGCAGTAAGAGTGGATCTCTAGATTGCAAAAAGTGTACTAAGTCCTATGGAGGTGATCCTAGGCATTCTTTTGTTCCAGTAAGTGGCTTCCTAGTAATCGATTCATATTTAATTTTGCAATTGATTCTTTCTTTATGAATAAAGTTTATGTTTAAAGGCAGTAAGAGTGGATCCCTAGATTGCAGTAGGTTTTACTTTATACCTTTTGCATTGAATGTGGCCCATGTAAGTGGACAATTCGGTAATAATAAAGAAATAAAACGAAAAACTTTTGACTTCATATACTGTGCTTGTTGTTCCGCATGTCCACCTTTCAATTATAACATCCAAAACATGCACAAAAAAATGAAAGCTTGCATTAAGATCAAACCACTCATAAGTAAGTGATACAAATGACCACAAATCTACTTGAAAAAATAAACTTTTTTTTTGGGCTGAGAGCAAAAACAACATAGTTCTTTTCTGGAAAATAGATGCATTAATTTTCCATTTCAGCTCATTAACCTGATAGAAGGCCAAGCATTGGAGCACAAATTTGTCCATAGAATCTGCTTTCAGATCAATAACTGTGTCATAATCTTTCACCTGTTCCACAAAAATGTAAGAAAGTAGGGGTCAAATTACAAATGCCAAGAAGCTAGAAAGTCTAGGACAATAAAACATAGCTATGATGTACACACCGCTTCCACATAATCTCCAACCGCATGGTAACTAGAGGCACGTAAGTACAGACTTTCTAAATCAGATGACTCAATACTCAATGCAACAGACAAATCTTTGATGGCACTCCTGTAAAATTCAAGAGTTATACAATTTAAAAATAAAATAAAAGAGAAAATATCAGATGCTAAGAGAACACATCCACCCAACTGAAAAAACCACAGCTTGCAAAATCCATCCAACAAGTGTGACAATATTTGCTATTAATAGTGCGGCGTAGAGGCAAACTAATTGCTCAACACAAATAGTTCCAGCTAGACAAATACATAAAGATTCAGATATAATCACTCTCAACTACCAAGAATTTACAAATGAAATCATGTCAACACCGATCAGGAAAAGGGAAACAAAAGAAAAAAAAAAAAGGAAAGTGGCACCTTCAGCTTCTTGAGAATCTGGTATGGCCCAAACCGTCACTACATTAACTTGATGTAAACCAATTGGGAACCTCTCACGCCTCAAATGTACCATGACATAGTCTCCTACAAAACATGAGCGGCAGGGTAAACGTGCATCTGCAGCCGCCTCTATGAAAAAAATGTGCAACATGAGGCACATCAAAGAGCTCTTGACAAAAAACAAAATGGGACATTTTTGGAAAAGGGTCCAACACTACAAACTCTCTATGCTCTGTTGGACTCATCCAGTAATGAGCTATGTGTGGGAGGCAAACTCCACAAGTGAGATCTATACAGTGTTGTGGATCTCATATAGGAGGAAGCTCCTTAAATTGCCCCAAGAGGGTGAATCTCCTCTGCTGTCTGCATCTCCTTACTCCCCACCTCAATAGCGCTCCTTTCAATTTAACCTCGATTCACTCATCTTTGCAATACTGCCTAGGATCCTCATAAGAATCAGCCACATACACTCTTATCTTCTTCCTCATCTAGTGTTTGGCTCCCCTTGGAACCACACACACAAAAGACATCTTCAGTTGTCTTTCAGATATGCTTACGAGGAAGCGCCATCATAACACCTATAGCATGCGCAATATGCGGCAACTGCTCCCTGATCCACTGGAGGGAGTCATAATGTTGATCAAGCCTTTGTTTGATGGACTGCTGCAAACCACCCCTAACTTGACCATGCCCATGGCATTGGCTATGGCAACAGACTCAGCTACAACCTAGTTCTCATTGCCTTGATTTTCCACGCATTGAGAACTCACCTAACCCAAAGATGGAATTCTACTAGATTTTAGAAAGGGCACTTCCTACACTCTAGATGGCTACTAAGACAATATACCCGACTTGGGAGTTCTTTGACAGCAATCAAAAGACCTCAACAACTCTCTTAACTCAAAGATAACACTTAAAACACTTGGGAATACCACATCACATAATAGGACAGCATCAAAGGGAGTTGAAAGCACAATTACCCAGAACGGAAGTAACAAGATATCCAGGATCCCTTGTACATGATCAAGCAAAGGGACCGAGAACCCTGGATACCAGGGAGAATGTTCCATATCTGCAATGGAGCATGTTCCTTGTCCACTACGAAGCATGTTTTTTAACAAGTGAGATTCTGCTATGCGTAGGTTCGAGATACACGAAGTTCACTTTCCCCTCTATTGTAATTTGGGAAGCGAATCCTAACCAACAATAGGTTTATCTTTACCCAAATTCACAAACCCAAGTACCAAAGTAAACAAGAACCATGTCATTGAAATTCTGTATGATTTTTTCTCGTCATTGGACTATGATTTCAAGCGAGTAGTGATACTTAAAATCCAATATAGCCTACCCAAGTTCCCGGGCATGAAAGGAGCTTTATGTGCATCTTTTACCTCGGTGATGTGTCCATTGCCTCGGCGATCTCTCTCTCTCTC